CTTGCTTAGCATACAGACTGAATAAGTATGGTGAAAGAATACAACCCTAGTATACACCTTTCCTGATTTTAAACTATTTAGTGTCCCCCTGTTCTGTTCAAAGAACTACCTCTTGGTCTATGGACAGGTTCCTCATCAGCACGATTTAAGTGTTTTGGAATTCCCATTCTTCACAAATGTCATCCACAGTTTGTTATGAACAGTGTATATAATTAAAAAATGACAGGTCACTTACTGAGACCAAAACAATAACAAAAATGAAACATAGTGACTATAATTACAACTGCTAAATCATAACTACTGTTCTACTACAATCCTGAATTTTCACTGCTCCTTCTCCTGGAAAGGAAAAAAGAAATTAATATTTTGCTTAAGGGTGTGGGTATTTATACAACATGTGACTTTGTACAATATGGTGACTTTGATCTTTTAAATTCTAGCCTTTAAAATCTGTCAAGATAAGTCACTAATGTACTATTACTATTAGAAATCAAAGAAGCTAAATAGAATTAGTCTAACAATAATAACACTACTAATAGGTACTGAGCCCTTATTCTGTGTGAAATGCTTTTCATGTGCTACTTCATTTAATCCTCACATCTAACCCTATCAAGGTAACATTATATTGGGAGCAGCTGAGCCGAGGGTCCCTGACTTGGGGGTAGTTTAACTGAAGGATTGCAACAGAACAGTTGTGGTCCAGAAACTCAGGCTGCTTCCAAGTCAAGCCCTGCCCCTGAGGAACTTGCAGGGCTGCCTCAGGGGACAAGGAACTTGCAAGGTCTTTCCCTGTATTTAGCTATGTCCTTCGGCTCAGCCTGAGCAACATTCTAGCCACCCTAATCAGTGTTCCAGCTAGCTACCACAAGTTACATTCTTCTGATAAAGTCCCACTTACTGCACGCATCAATAACATCAGATGTTATTCTTTTCCTTGTCCCCAGAACCTCCCCTTGAGCAGTGTATATAATAAAACTCGCTGCCATGGTCGGTGCTGCAGTATCTCCATCAGAGTGCTGCGTCCCACCTGGTTCAACCTTTCCTTATTTCACTTGTGTCTTGTGTCTTCCTTTATTTCTAATCTCCCATTGCCCCTACTCAGGGTTAATCTGTTTACGCGGGTCGTGGAGACTAGCCAATTGTTGGATGCAATAGTTGGCCCCAGCAACATTATGCTGGCTTAAGCATCATATTACATGCTTTAATAATTTCTCTGCTTTTTAAATTTAAGACATCTTTCAAGAATGAGTCATAATATTCACTACTGGTAGGAATGTAAAATGGTACAACCACTTTGGAAACAGGTCTGCAGTTTCTTAAAAAGTTAACATACGTCTATCATACAAGTCATATATAACTGCAAGCCAACCAATTCCCTGCTATTCGCAAGAGAAAAAAACCATGTCCACTAAGACTTATATACACAAGGCTCGTAGCATCTTTATTTGTAATAGTCCCAAACTAGACACAACTCAAATGTTCATTAACAGGTGAATTGGTACAAAACGCAGTGCAACTCTATACAGGTAGTCTTAACTACCTGTAAGTTGGTTCTCAGATAAGTCAAGCACTTCCTTTTTAAAAATTTTAAAGTGGTCCATGGAGTCATGGTGTGATGCTATAGGATAAGCAATGAACTACAGGATAAGCACTGGACTGCTAACTGCAAGGTGAGTGGTTCAAATCCACTAGCTACACCTCAGAAACCCTATAAAGGGTTGTTATGAGTCGGAACCAACTCGACACCACTTAACTACAACAAATTACTACCAAAGTCTGTTATATATTAGTGATTTGAAGGGCAAATCATAACATTGAACATCTGCGAGTGACCAACTGATAATGACGCCATCCGTGGATTCCATGCTGCAACACTGCATGTATTACGTATTTCTAACTATAACTCAAATATATTCTAAGTTGATGACTACCTGTAATTATAGACCAATCATCTGATAAATGCAACAATATAGACCAATCTCAAGCTATTATGCTTAGTGAAAGCTAAGCTAGCCATGAGTACATACTCTGTGATTTCATTCACATAAAATTCAAGAAGACACAAACCAGTGTTTTGCAAAATAACAGAATGCAGATCAATGGCTGCCTGAGGATGGAGTAAAGGAGGGGTGGATTATAAAACAGCCCAAGAAAACTCTTGAAAGTGATAGAAATGTTCAGTATCTTTGCAAAAATATGTGGCAACACTTGAAAAGACCAGCAGACCAGCCTGGAGCAGCTAGAGGAACAGAAGACACTTCTTCAAAGAAAGACCAGCAGGAAAAATAAAAAACAAAAACAGCAGTCTGACTGACTACCACAAGAACAAGCAAGTTGTTCCTGGGGAGCCATCAAGAAAAGCAATCAAGTCCTTTCAGGGCAAACCCCTCTCCAAGACTGAAACTCAAAGGGAATACAAGAGCAGACATATAATCATGCTGGCGACCACGTTGGTCTACCGATGAGGGGAAGTAGGGGAAAAGCAGCAATGAAGATGTGGGCTGATTCTGACCACGTTCAATAAACTCCCGTCAACTTGGAGTGAAACCTGGTTGGCCAGCAGTATGGTGAGATCTGGAGACTCCTGAATCCATGGACAAGGACATAGCCACAGAGGGCTAGAGCGGAGAGCTGATATGAAGTGAGGGTCGATGCCCAAGAACACCCATACTTGCAGATAGTATGCATGTGACCTAGCTTCAATGGTGGGATGATCAGAAATCAACTACAGGAAGAAGAGAAAAAAAAAGTGTAATCTGCTACAATTTTAAGAACTTGACCTATAATTATTTATGGATGTAGTAGGTTAAAAGAGGGAA